ATAGATCTTATATAGAAAAAATCTTATTTATTGTACTGAATCATATTATTGTCTTAGAACTGATTTGAGCCAAAGCGCTTAACACTTCGAACATAACATTCGGATGGATAAATGTTTATGTAAAATGGCGAATACAAAGTCTTTTAATATTTTCAAGACACCAGATATTTAACGCAACTATAATTGATGATCGATCAATACTATTTTTTGCACTTTTTTTTAATTTCCTGAAGCAGACATAAAACTTGAGTATCTAGCACTATCAGTATTTTTACGGTCATATTTAAAGACTGCAAGCCAACCATAAGTAGCTAGTTTCAATAGAGTGGAATCACTTAACTATTATTTAAAATATTACTTTATTTGGAAGCAATAGTTTATCTACACATAAAATTCAGATACATTTAATATTTCGAAAACTACAAAAATAACATTTCAAGTACCATTGTAACTAATTAACAGAAAGGCAAAATGTTAGTAGTGATGTCTTCTATATCTCTATATCTATATCTCTATCTATATAGATATAATTATATCTATATGAACTTGTATTTATCTTCTGTGCACATGAAATTTATTGTTCAGTATATGTTAATTGATGTTTCTATCTACAAAAAAAACCTGTATAAAATGCGTTTTTTAAGTTGAAAGCAATTATACCATCACTCTGTTTGAGTTTATATATATTGCTTTTACTTACCCCTTTTTTTCTGTGGCAACTCTAGCATAGTTTAATAACCACATATTGATAAAGTTTCTATATTTTCCTGCAAACATTATTGATTGTAACTGCGGAGTAGAAATGCATTTATTCATGTGACTCTGTGTTAAAGTTTAGAAGAATAATGTAATAAAATATTGAAATAATCAGTAAGAAAATTGAAATTTAGTTTTACTTCATCAATATTTCGTTCTCAATAATATTTTTGTTAAAATTACTTATATTGATTTTAGGGAAATTCCATTTGAACTTTTGAATTTAACTCAATGGCATAAAAAAATTTATTAAAAAATGCAATAAATGAAAAGGTTATTTTTTGTTAAACTATCGCCCATTCGAAAGTTCCTTTGGTGATGCTCAATTCAATGAACTCTTCCACAATTTGCTTTAGTATGCAACCTTTTCAAAAAATTTAATATCAATTTTTTCCAAAATAGTCAAAACCGTTCACATCAAAAGCGTTTTTCATCAGATTATGACAGTAGAGCAATATTTGCTCTATACTTTGCTTATACTTTAAAAGGTCTTTTAAATGAAAAGAGCGTTGATAGACATTAAATTGATGAAGGTAAAATTTCTGATTAAATAAGTACTTATAATCTTCAGTTTAGTATTTAATATATTAATTTCTTATTTTATTTTGTTTAAATCAAATTTTCTAATTTTTTTTTTTTTTTTTATTATTTTTTATTATTCCGTTGATATTACATCTATCTTAGATATCTAGTAATACTTTTAACAAATGTAAATTTGGAAAAAGTTCTCATTTAATACATTTTTTTGTTGTACATATATACTCGTATAGATATTTTTTTAATTAAATATAAAAGTTCAGTGACTTTTATATCGAAAATATATATTATAACTTATTCATAGCCAATATTATTCATTTTTCTTTTATGGGATTTATTATGTATAATAGTATTGGCTTAGCAACTGCAAAGAATTGATCCAAATATTAATCAATTTTATCATATGGAAGGGAAGAGAGTTTTGTGTACAAAACTGACGTCACGCATATGCATTGAAATAAAAAGTTAATAAACCTTTTTACCCTAAAGAACTGAAAAGCATTTTATTTTTGACTTAACAATTATTATTCAGTTTTATTCATTATACATATTGAGATACTAATTCATTCAATCATTATTCCATAAATAACAAAAAATTGAACCATGAAATCTATTATGATCCGAAATGCATGTATTTTTGGTGATTATATTGACAGTCATTTATCATAAAGAGTGACAGTGCTTTGACAACTGTCAATTAAAAAATCAAGTATTTTTATCATTTAATAGGAAAATATATTTAATTGATAAATATTAAAAATGTACTATACTACAATTCTTTTTATTAGGAGCACAGTGTTTTTTTTTATATTAAAAAAATTATATATTGTTCTGTATTTTATATATAAATTATTTTTATATGTGCTACCAATAGTATCAACTATCATTTTAATAAATCTAAAATTCTAGAAATATATCCAAGTATTAACAGCTCACTATTTTGCATTTATTTGCTCTTTACTACTATAATTTACTATAATCTCTACTATAATTAATTATAGTGAAACTGTAGCGGTGGCGTATGAGTAAGCTAATAATATATTATGAGCAAAACGTAATGTAGTGCTTTAATAGCCGCATAATGGATGGAAACGATAGTTTAAATATACCTTATTTGAGCTTCTATTGTGAGAACAATAGGTGATATATATTATATTTTATGTTTTAAGAACTAAGAATAAATCTGTTGTAGTAATTTGTTTGAACTTATAATAGTACTATATAAGCTTATAATATATAGTTAATACTATTACAAGCTTTTTTTTATTAATATTATAAATAATATAATTTTATTGTTATTTTATTTTTCTACCTAATCACCTTTTAGCTTGATACATTTAGTCCAGTATTTTTCTAATTTTCTTATTCCCTCCAAATAATAGATTTTCTCAAAGGTCTCAAAATACGCGTTTGTCTCGGTAATGACTTCTTCATTCGACTCAAAGCTCTTACCGCTCAGCCATTTCTTTAGGTTTGGAAACAGAAAATAGACACAGGGAGCTAAATCTGGAGAGTATGCTGTATGAAGTAGCAGTTTGTATCCCAATTCGTGGATTTTCGCCACGAATGCTTAATCAGCATACGAAATTCACATTTTTCCATTTTCGTAAAAATTCTCGAGGTTGTCGGCTTTGAATAGGTATCAAACACCAACTGAACAACGTAGCTTGCTCAAAATTAGAAAGTTGCCCACTGGTAGATTACAGCTGGCGGCAGCACTGTTGCATTTGGAGTAACTGAGCGGGAAAATCAAAAAGTCCTTGACTTATTAAAACGCCCTCGTATAAAAAACAATAAAGAACTGATAAGTAGAAAAATTTTAAATCCTATGGAAAAACTGTGTCTAGAATGATCTTGAGAAGATGAATATAAGAAACTGGAAAGAGAGAATAAGGAACAGAGAAGAATGGAAGGTTGTTGTATGGCAGACCTAGGTACTACACGGACTGGTACGCCAAGGATTATAGCTATTGTTATAAGAAACACTACTACACCTCAACCAATAAGATCTGTATAAATATTGTATCTAAGAATTAAATTCATTTTTCACTCATTAACTAAAACAGATTTTTGAACCAGTCATTATCTGAATTATATTAGAGTCCTTTGTATGACTATCTCCCACACTAAAATTCTATTTAATACCAAGAAGCTACATAGAAATATTATTATCTTATTATTATCTTGGAAAAAAAGCATAAAATAAACATTATTTTAATATAAATTTTGAACTACCTATATTTCAGTTTAAAATATTATAAACAAAAGCTAAATTAATGTATTTCCTCATTCGTGGCATATATTAAGTATATAGTAATGTTATTTTATTTCATGCGTATAAATCATAAAAGTTAAATGCTTGCACAATAACTTTGGTGAGGAGCTGATTTTTCAGGTGTCAAACTGCTGAAATATATATATAAGAAGTGACGTGCAATATTTTACTTTCAAAATGATAGCACGTTAACTCTAAGTCACAAACCAAAGTACCGAGGATATACAATATTAACATATTCGTTATTTGAATAATTTTTATGCTTGTCTATCACTGAGGGGAACAATGAACATTTTTCATAAATGAAACATCAACTTCACACCATTCCGCTTCCGAAATGCAGAGGGCATAATGGAGGAATATAAAAAGCAATTTCGGTACAGTTTACACACGTTAGCTTAACAACTTTGGTAATCAATAACTTTAGTAAGCAAACAAAGATACAAAAGCCAACTGAATTAGAAGGGCAATTGCCTTTATGTTAAGGCGAATAACCCGGTAGGTGAGACATGCAGAACAACGAAAATTAAGAAACATATGAAATATGTGCTGGATATTATGAAGAATTTACTTACAATCAGTGCGTAAGACAAACACTTCTTCTAAAAGAAATACATATTTTCCTATTAAACTTCAGGCCAAAGTGTTGTATGTAAATAAATTTACTTACACCACATACATATAAATACACGCAAGCAATTTTATGAAGCATGTACATGTGATAACAAAGGAACTTCAATCGCTTTTGTTATCATTAAATGGTGTTATCGATAACAGTTCTTTAAGTTTCAGCCTTCTTCTTTAAACTGATATTGAGATTTAATAAAATTAAAGCCTTTGAACTTTGAAAATAATTAATTTTTATATATTATGTATAAAGGCGCTTTTTAATTTTAACAATATTCTGACAGTTTACAAATTTCAGGGGTATATCTTTTAATTAAAATTGTTATAAAAAAAAATACCTTTTATATTGTTTATCTTTAGCAAAGTTTTGTGGACTTTTATCCTCTTGATAGATTATTATTATTGTTAGGGGGTGTGGCGCAATAAGCCCTATTGCGTCAATTAAGAGTAGTATAGAACCTACTTTATAGAGTTTTATTGCCTCTCCCATAAAAATATACATTTCCAGGAGCCTATTCCGTATGTGCATTACCACAGGGCATTCTAACAGCACATGTGTGACCGATTCGTCATTCTATTCACAGAATCTACAGTTTGCTTCCTTATGTATACCCAGTGTCGTAAGGTGATATTTTAGTTTACAGTGCACTGTTTGGATTCCTGTGATGATTCTAAGTTTTTCTTTTAATAGATTCATACAATCCTGGTATCTCTTATTGTTATATGTTAGGTACCAATAAGTGATTCGGATTTTTTTAATTCTGGTATATTATCCCAGCTACTTATTCAATACTATACATAGTAAGAATTACTTTGTTAAGTATATTGCTGATTTCTTTTCTTTAAAAATAAGGCTTTTAATATCACTGTCAAATTTCTCGAAAAAGTATTTTCTATAGTCGAAATCATTGCCAAGGCTTGGCATCAACACAATAAGTAGGGGTTGACAAATTTTCGAAAATTGTAGTGAAAGTCCTTACTAAGACTTGACAGATGCTAGAAAATTCCTTGAAAACTTAAGAACCGTCCTTAATGAGATTTTTTGTTAACAACAAAATAAAATCTAAAAGTTATAGTGGGAATAAATAAAAAATAGTAATTTCGTTTTGGAACAATTATTTCTCTGGAATTCACACAAATGTCAAAAACTTAAAGTTGTTGTTATTGATGCGGTATACTCTAGATTACTTCTAGGTAACAATTCTAGAACGGACTGTTTAAGTAGAATAGACCTGATATTGCTATCAGATGATCTGCAGAACATCAGCACTATCAACCTGTACTACCATTTCAACAATATGGCTCTGCTTAAGTTGAGAAAATGTGTTTAAATTAACCGTTTTATAATTCATTGTAGTTAGAGTACTAAAAAAAATCCGAACTATTCAGGTATTTGAAAGTTTGTCAATGTTATGCAGCTAGTTAAGTAATCTTGTAGTCGAATATCAAATATCTATGTAGTCCTGAAATTTAGTCAGTTATGGAACTATTTGTTGCAAATCAGAGTGTCGAAGTGTATGAACATGTTGAATTATTATTTATAATTTTTTCTAATAAAATGATATTCAAACTAATAGAATAATTCAAAATATCCTCATATGAACATATGAACTGATTTGGAATATAGAAACTAAATTTCTATCTAAGTTTTTTAGCTTTTAAAGTAGAGTTATACTTATGGCCAATTAAGTTAACAAATTTTGTGTGTGACATTTTTACAATCTTATTTTACATAATTAAATTTATTTAAATTTAAATTTATTTGTCTGTATTAACATTAAATAAATAGCCTGATCATTTAATTGACTAACCACGCTCCTATTAAAAAGAAATTGCTGACACAGTGGGTAGCAATTCAATTTAATAGCTCTTAATTTTATAATTTCAAAATATTTTTATTTTATTTGTTAAAATAATAAAAAATATTTTATTGTTAAATGCAATCGTTTTTATTTTATAGATGAGAACATGCAATTTTATCGTATACTCAAATTGTGGTAACTACCAAATATATGGGTGACAACCATGTGTGCTTGTGATATTCACTTAAATATTTATGTCAAACACATGCTGTGATATTCAGAAGAATTGCTGCCAAGGCAATTAAAATAATTTAACATGTGGTGACACAGAGTTGTACGAAAAACGATAAAAATATGAAAGCCACAAAAGCAATACAAGTGAAAAAATTCTCTAACAAATATATAAATATATACATATACTATATTTATACAAACTTGTGCATCGTAGTGAAATTTTATTCACATTTTTCTTATTTTGACAATTTCAGTTAATTGGCATCAATAATGGTAAGCACAACATTGACAACAATAGCTGCTGGACAACCAACAACGAGTAGCTCAAACCAAAATCATCATCATCAGTCATCGGCAACGTCAACCGCAAACAATACTAATTATCAGAGATCTACAGCGTTACACCAACAACAGCAACAACAACAACAGCAGCAGCAACAGCAGTACTACAATTCCTCACAACAGCATCATTCATCAACGCTACCAACAGCTTCGGTAGTGCGTAATAGTTACTATTACAACTCGTTAGCATCGAATGGTGTTCCCAACAGTATTGTAAATAGTAGTAGCAGCAACAATTTAAACAGTTACAACCACAATAGCGAAACTACAATTAAATCAGCAAACGTCACACCAGCCGAGAGTAACCACAATACACAGCTTCACTACCAGCGACCTTCAACGCTTTGCAACGGCAAGGGCAGCAACATCACCACAACAGTAACTGCTGGAACAACAGTATCAACACCCACTGCAGCAGCTGAAACCGCAAAATCCGATCAAACCACAAAATCGAAATACAATGAAGCAAATAAGTCAGCTGTAAATTTATCACAAACTCTACTCTCAGCCTCGCCTCCGCTTAACGATCAAATATCATTGCTCTTTCCTAAGTGTCGTCCTAAGCATACGGCAACAAATAGCAATAATAACTTAAACATCAGTCACAATACTAATGGGAGCGACACAGCAGATACTAATTTAAGTTATCATTTAACTGAAATAAATCTTAACGGTGCAAAAACGACTAACTCATTAAGTGAGTCGAATTGTAGAAGCCCTCCAATAGTCAAAACACCAGCACCAGCAACAACAACAAACACAACAACAATATACGAAAGTAAAGCATCACCTGAAGCGGCAACAACAAAGACATTTGCTCCCAATTATTATAAGAGCGTAAATATAATAACGCAGTCACCGCCGCCGCCATCAACATCTTCAGTATCATCCGAATCGTTGTCTTCAGTAACACCAAGAATATCAACTAATCCCTTTTTGTGTAACAATTTGACAAACGGTGATACATTGAGTACATCAACAGCTGCTACGCACAAATTTGAAGAGCCTGGTAACAATATTGTGAGCAACGAGAACGATAACGACGACGAAGAAGAATTGCCTGTACCGACATATACGAGCTTCTATTATCATACAAGTAATTTAGCTAACGAACTACGAGGGCAACGTGAAGATAGACGCACTTACGAAATGCCACGTAAACGTACAAACTACAACAATCATCATCATGCTCATCATACAAACTCACAGCAACAGCAGCAACAACAACAACAGCAACAGCAATCACCACAACAATATACGCATTTGTCACAAACACAAATGATTGGGACTGTCAATCACCAACAACACCAACAACTCAACGGCAGTTCAAATCAAAATCCTTTTATTAAAGATAATTATTGGGAGACACGGCACAATATAACAGCTAGCAATGTACTCAATTCACCGACCGACTATAGTGGCAACGAAATTGAAATACCGGCAACAGCACAACCGTCAACAACAAGACGTGCATACCATCAACAAACATATAATGGCAATAATAATGGCAGCAATTATATGTCACGTCAACAACAACAGCACCAACACCAACTCCAACAACAACAACATCATATACGCGTTGGTCGTAGTCCTGTGAATCACAGCCAATATCATCAACAACAGCAACAACAACAACAGCAACAAACTGAAACAAGTAAACGTTCAAATGACCATCATTTGCTGAGCCAACAACAAACGCAAACACAAACAGTGCCAGGTGGCATCGAAGGAGTAACACAGCTCGTTAATCAGTATTTGTATGGCAGCAAAAGCAAGGACCAGCAGCACCAACAACAGCTTCAACAAAAACATCAACAGCAGCAAATGCAGCAGCAACAACAGCCAGTGGATGTACAACAGCAACAACATGTCGGTGTCAATATATGGGAGAAACGCGAAAAATTAGAGCGTGAAAGTCGGGAACGTGATAGAGAACAGCGTGAACAACGCAAAGTATACGTGGATAAAGAAAGGGAATGGGAAAGGGAAAGAGAAAGGGAAAGAGATAGAGACAGAGACCGAGATAGGGAACGTGAAAAAGATTGGGATAGAGACCAGGAAAGGGATAGAGATAGAGAGAGAGAGCATATACGAAATGAGCCTGATAATGTGCATGATATACGTAATGTAACACAACAGCATCAACACTATCAACAAAAACAGCAACAACAACACCATCAACAACAGCAACAACAGCTGCAGCAGCAACACCATCAACAAAAGCAGCGCAGTAATGTTGAAGGCCGTTTATCGTTGATTGCCAACAATGAAGTTGCCGTCTTCGATGAAATCACAGAAAGTTGGAAAAGTAAGTACTATCCCCTAAGCTTATGCACCCTCACTGCCCTAGCACACCTTTCTCCGGTAGTAAAAGAAAATTGATTCGGGGATATTATTTGTTTACTTGAGGTTATTATTGGCGTCAATGGAAGTTTTTCCTACGTGTGTTTTGACAGTTTCTTTCATTTTCCGTTGGCAATGTATTTTATCATTTATTTGCATTTATTTTGTTGCTGTTGCTGTTATGTCGTGTTGTTGACGCACTTGTCTCGATAAATCTACAACGATTAAATATAATTGGAAAAAGATTTTTTTCTATTTTTTCGAAAATTAACTATATTTTTATCATTTCTGTAGTAATCACAATTTCAATTACTCAAATAAATATTTTTTCTTCAAATGAAAATAAATTAAACAAAAAAAAATCAGATGTTAATTTCAGATATTAAATTGCAACATTGAAGTTGACAGGACAACAATGAAAAGTTATGACTTTAAAGAACTAATTTCAAATTATTAGCCATCAATAATTATCTTTTTCATTTAGCAAAACTTTTTCTGCCTTTTATCCTTTTTTATCAATTACATTCACAAACAATAATTTCTGTATGACAATTCATATTGAACTTGTGAATTGAATTTTTAAAAGATTTTATTTGAATCCATAAACTATTTTGCCAATATTCCTTTTATTCCACAATACAATGTAAAAGTTTCACAAAACGTTAAAATTGATTTACTTACGCTTTCAATCATTCTCACACAAGGGCTATTCAAAAAGTTTAATTTTTCAATCAAAAGTTCTGTGTTAAATATTATTGTACCCTACATTTTAAAATAGTAATCTTAGTTATTCAGAATAACAGTACGACTATAATAAAAGAATTATTTTATCGATAATCCTAACAAGAGGTTAAGCTTTCTACATAGATTTGCTAACTTTTCATGCTACATACTATTGATCCCAATATGTACATTCAATTATTGGACAGTTTTGTTTTGAATTGTCTTTCATGGAGCTATATACGGCCGGCTACGTCGCCATTTCATAGGTGCGAAGTTGGAAAAATCCTATATAAAATCTTATGTATATCGACATAACTATATTTACGTTCAGTTATGTTGCCATTTCATAGATTCAAAGTTGAAAAGATCCTATATCTCGTTATCGAGAAGTTCGATGGAAACGGTACAACGCATAAACTTACTGAGAAAGAATTTTTTACTTCTTTTATAGGATTAAAATCTTTGTGCTGAATATGCGCTTGTCACACTACATAACTAATTAGAAAAATTGAATATAAATAATTAATTAATTCATGAGCAAATTCCTACAGGTTGCCAAGAATAAACGGAAGACATTTAGTTTCCAGATCTTCCTTATCAAGTCCAGATCTTTGGAACTTATTAAATGGGACTGTAATACTGTAAAGCTTACGGCAGTTCTCTCTGGTCACTAGTGTATAGGAACCTAAATAAAAAACCTAAATGCACATACATTTTAATACTAATTGTAGAAGTTATGGAAATTTGTAGAGTAAAGAAAGAATGAAACATTTTTTCTAGAATGCCTGGCTCTAGCGTTCAAAAGAAATTGCATTTCTAAGAGAAGAGACAACTTATCAAACTATTCATCAATAGAGACGAAAGAACTATTAAATTACCCAAATTTAACGAAATGAATTTATCTATGGTTTAATTATCTTAAGGATTTTTGAGAAAAATGTGAAAAGAAAACGGCGAAATATCACTAATTGAGATCAGTTCAAAACTATCTAATAACCACAGCAACAACAAAAATGCTGGCCGGTTTCCTAGTCTCAATAGATATACAGTCAAATGAATAAAGCTCTTATTAAATACTTATTTGGCATATTTCGATAATACGATTAAAGAATCCCAATATCTACAGATTTTATGACAAGCAAACCGAAACACACAATAGTATTAATTAGTATTATAAGGTTTATTGATAACTTTAATATAAAAATATTAAATGATATTATTAGGTTTATTAATAATATTAATTTCCCCTGCTCAGCTTGTAATAAATAAATAAACTTTGGTCTATTAATAGTAACATACTCAACAACTACTTCAGATTACAGGCTTTATTAATTGATTTCTAATGTATATCCATACATTTATTTCTTATAAGATCCATAAACGTACCTAGATAGGAGTAGGGGACGCTAGACCCAACTTCAACAGTATCTTAATATCTTATAGTACTCTTAACAAAATATTAAATACTTTTTATTTTATTTGGTAATTATTATTGTGCAAATGGTACAATGGCAGTTTGAGTGTGCGCGGTACCTGATAAGTGGAACTAAAGAACTCACGCCAAAATAAATGTCAATATATCAACATCCCTACTAATTTTGCCTTATATTCAGTAAATATTTTATATAAATCACTGACAATATATAATTTTATTATAAATAAGTACATTGATTGATAAGTACGTTTTGACGAAAGATACTAAATTCTTAATATAAACTATTGTTTTCAATGGAGAGGTATTTCTTACAGTATAAAATTACAACAACAATTTTTTTTACTATTTTTATTAATTAATTGAATTTTTGGCTGATCATCATCAGTGGTCTTGGAATTATTTCTTATAATTTATTATTCGTAAATAATTTTTTGAGATTATAAGTACCAAGGATTGAACGCATATCCTGCCAAATTTGAAGAGTCAAAGTCAGTATTCATTGGCCAACTGAGCCAAAGCCCTACCTTGCATATTCGAACTTGGAGTTTTGTTAATTTGCTGTGAAAGTTAATTAATAAATTTACTTGTTGTATTATATTAGAACGAAATCATAAATCATGTAAATTATTCTACAGTTGGTTTATGATTTTATTCTAATACGACAGAGCAAGTGAATTTGTTAATAAACTTCAACATCAATCAATTAATATTATTGTAGTCTAATTTTATACATATATATTTTTACTAATCATATCTGTATCTGAATTTTGTTTTATATCTATATATGTATCTGCATCTGTATGGACTGCCTTTAGCATAAAAGGACATACGCATAAACAACTAAATTAGTATTTATCAATTAAATTATTAATATTACTTGGTGAAATGTAATCTTAACGATTTTCAAATCCATACTCATTATTAGACAAAGTTGTGATAATATCACAATTTATACTTAATGTACTATCCCCTATGCACAAAGGATCTTATTTTGTACGTTAATTATGGAAACCTACAAACACCTCACAATAATTGGTAATGGCAGCGTTTATCTTTACTTTTGTCAACAATAAACTTATGTTGCCATGGAAAAGCTTAATTGAATTGCAAATCCTGCGTAATGAAGTGCAACGGAGACACATTACCAATATAGCCGCAACACTAAACTGCAACATGTTGCTAATGACAGAATAGATTATAAGGAAACCAAGGGAATAGAATTGATTGAAATTAATTGAAATTCATAGTCTGTAAATACGAATTATTGGAAATCAAAATTATACCAGACATACTGAATTTTACTGTTGTGCATTTAAATTTGAGTGCTTCTCCTTACTTTTGCTTGATATGAACACAAGTGCTTATTTATCTAAAAGTTCATATTTTGAATTGAAAAAAAGTAAACAATGACTCATTCTTCGCACCTTTTAGATTTGAGAGTAACAACCGACCCGAGTGCCACTAGAAATACTCCAGCTACAACAGCAACTGTAACAGTTACAGCAACTGCTGCCGCCACAACACCCACAGCACAGCAAGCATCCTTGACACTGGCTGATATTAAAGATGCAAAACCTGAAGTCAACAGTTATGAGAATGAAACTGCAGTATTGTACAAGGATCATAAAAGATACTTAGACCGCAACTATGCAACAATAACTGCAGAGACGCGTCATGGTATTATAGGTAAGTTATTTCGTTGCCTTTAAGAAAATTGAAAATAAAAAATACCAAGCAAATAATATTATTCAATTGATAGAGTATGAAGGTTCACCACGTCGCATTGGACAAGTTTCAGCTGGCAATGCCAACGAAGATGAGCACATACAAGCAAACAAAGATACAACAGCACAAAAGTCAAAGGCTGCATCGTATTATGTGTCTACGTCTGTTAACTCAAACTCACCGCAACAGTATCCGGCTAGACCAGGTTTTCCGCAAGTAAGTTAGAAGATAGTTAATATATATGCGAATTATTTAATTCTGGAAATTATAATATTGCTTTAAAACAGAATTTTTTTTATTTTTATTTATAAAAAATACTTAATTTAAATAAAAATTGCTTAAAAAAATTCTTTTACTCATTTAAATGTAAAATTTAAACTTTGTGTAGCGCATAATTTCGCCACCGCGTGAAACGTCTCCGCCAATAATGATGCTTCAATATAACAGTAACAATGTGAACAACATCAACAACGGGAAACAGTTACTACAACAACACCAGCAGCCACAACTGCAAAATAATTCCCAATCGCTGCCACAACAACAATCTCCAACTGATAACAATGCCGAGGATACCAGTAATGACGTTTCTGAAATTGGCACAATTTCCGATCTGACCACACCGGATGGTGTATCTGCTGCTATAATTGCAGCAACATCGACAAATGTTGAGTTAACAGCAACGGCGCCAGTAACAGCAATAGCAGCACCAACAGCGGCAGCAGCAACAACAACAATAGCAACAAGCACCAGTATATTAAGCATACCTACAAAGTCATCAACCTTTGATTACCTTTATGAGTTCTCCGAGACACGAAAGGTGCTTGAAGAATTTTTCAAGTGTCCATCGAACGATGAAAAACCAATTGAAAATGGCAGCGATATTGACAGCATTGTAAGTGTCAACGTTAAAATATGAAAACACTAAAAGCAACGCAGTATCTGGGTTGAACACGTACATGACATTGTTCCCTTTTCGTATTTCATATATTTTTGTGTATTTCTTTTTTTTTTTTTGTATAGGATATTCAGTATGAGTTTCACAGCAACTTGGATTGTGATGATGAGGACGAACATGAAGAGGAGGAAGACGAAGTTGACGATATTGAAAATGAGGATTTGCGACAAAATTTACAACGGCAAGAACAACAAAAACGACAGGACTTGCAAATACAAAATAATCACAATCAGCATCAGCAGCAATATCAACAACAACAACAACACCTACAGCAACAGCAATCGGAACATATATCAACACAATCTGAATACTCGCAATATTCACAACAGAATCACAACAATTCATGTGCTATGAACAATCATCGCCGTCATTTCACTGGTAGTCCGCTGATGCGTGATTTTGATTTCTTTTTGGATTCGGCCAGCCGCAGCAGTGGTGAACAGATTGACCAACAAGATGGCATCAATCACAATCAATTGGATAACAGACACAATAACTATCGTTATTCTCCTGAAACAACTGATTACGATTCCAACTGTGGTGACTTGGATAGTAAGTAAACTATTTACATACGAACATATTTTAAAGAATATAAACTACAATTACAAAACTCTAGATTTACCTATATCATAACTAATTAAATTCATTATATTTTTTAAGGTCTTTCGGGTGAAATGAATGGAGTTTCCACTTCCTGCTCTAATTATGCTAAATATTACGCTTCTAGTATGCCCGTTCTAGAAGATGGTCTTTCATCTGGTCACACTTCCGATACTGAGAATAATAATAATATTAATAATTTGCAACAACCGCAACAGAATTCAGCCATACATCATACACCAATCGGTGGCGGCATTTCCATGTTAATGGATATGAAACGAATATCCACAAATAACAGCATTAATAGCATGAACAATATGATGTCAACTACTACTGACAGTAGCGAAAAACGTAGCGCATTATCTCCAAGCATAATACATGATAATTTTATACATAAAAATGATAGCCCAGTTAATGGTATAAATGAAGATTCTGGTCGGGAATCTGTTCGATCCAGACGTGATAATCGAGATTTGCGCGAACCACATGATCGTGAAATACTTGGACAAAGTCCAACTAAAAATAATAATAGCAACAAAGTTTTTAAGAACATTGATCCCGAGCTGGATTCACTATATTCCATAAGTAAGTACAATATATTGAAAATTAATGTCATCGTTAAATATTGTTTCCCTTAACTTTGAGGAGATCTTCGAATGCTATAAAAATACTCTATCAAATCAGTATATAGCTCTTAACTAATGCTATTGTTTAATATTGTTTACTAGTTAATATATTGTTTATGAATAATTCTCTAACTAACAATTACACTACAGCGGGGAGGGAGGATACGGTCCTCTCACCAATACAATTAACTAATTAAAAATCACATTGATCTCCAAATTTCTATTGCTTTATTGCTCACAATATATCTCTAGGTCACACTGCAAATTCCCCAAATATCACTTTTATTTGTTTATACATATTATTTATCTAATGCTTTTATTTCCCTTCAAGATTTTGTCAGTTGTTACATAAAGCATAGAGTCCGCACATATATTTTATATACTATATGTAATTTATATTGTTAGTTATGTGGTTGTTAGCATAGCTTTTGTTTCATTTCAAGATTCTTTATTTATTCAATCTAAGAGAGGAAACCAAAACGTGTTCTGATGTAGGTATAAAATAAAAATAGTTATTAGCTGACGGTTATATTTCGGTATAAGAATTTCTAACCCCTTTAAAAATTGTTATTGTATAACATTTTCAAGAAGATTTTGTCAGTTGTTACATAAAGCATATAGTCCGTACATATATTTTATATACTATATATAATTTATATTGTTAGCATATATGGTTGTTAGCATAGCTTTTATTTCATTTCAAGATTCTTTATTTATTCAATCTAAGAGAGGAAAACCAAAACGTATTCTCTCGTAGGTATAAAATAAAAATAGTTATTAGCTGACGGTTTTATTTCGGTGTAAGAATTTCTAAACCCTTTAAAAATTGTTATTGTATAACATTTCCAAGAAGATTTTGAACGTTTTTTCTTTCTTGTAAATTTCAATAGTAGTGAGACACAAAGGACGTCTTTATAAATTTATTTGATGTTAATAGTTTAACATTCTTATATATCACTTTTCATTTTTATTATAATATTACTTAGGTGTATTTCATCGTCCTGATATGGTACAAATGACGCCACCACCACCAGCGCCTGCACCTCATCGCAAGCCTAATATTATTAATGGAGAACAGGACATCCTACAACCAACACCATACAAAGAATTATGTTCTGGAACAAATGCGACATCTCCAACAGCTAAACCTGTTACATCTGTGGCAACAGTCATTAGCTCAAACATAAATCGCTGTAAAGCTACACAAAGCACTGCAGCAACTACTCAACAAACTATTTCGACAAGTCGTAGCATACACGCTCAACCGCCTCCAATACCAGAGCGTAACTTGCAGCGTTCACCTTCACCTGTGATGAATTCTCCAGTCTGGCTGGCACGTCATTTAGACAATAGTGCCAATAAAAGTTTATTAGAATCATCTTCAGAGAATCATTCCAAAAATTTAAGCGCTGATGAAGATGATGTAGATACCGACTTAGAAACAGATCGTCTGTTAGGACATCAACGACTTGACGATCAGGGCTACTACGATGAAAATAAGTCTTGGGAGCGTAAACCACGCTCATTATTATCAAAAATCTCACCAAAACAACAAATACCAAGCACAAAAACACGTAATGGCTATAATGCATTACTCTCATCCACACCGGAAATCCCACCGCCCATTCCACCGAAAAACTCATCAAATAAATTACTTGATATTGGCGGCTCTATGTCATCATCTGAACATATCGATAAATCGCCTATGAAGTCAATTGATGTACAAGACTGTGTTGTAACTATGGGCAGTCCAGTTGGTTCGGATGGTTCTGCTTGTATGAGTGGTAGCTCTAAGAAGGACGTCGATCTCGTTGGTAATACGAATGGTAGTCAAAATTGTAATACCAGCGTAACTAGCAACAATGTGAGTTCTAATAATACGAGCGGCGAGAAGAAAGTCAAAAAGAGTAAGAACAAAGAAGGTAAATGTGTTGGGTTTATCTTCGACTAAGTAGTGTCGTTTAACCAATTTTAGTCACAGTTCTTGTTGTTAATATTAGAATAGCATTTCTGTAAATGGGGAATAAACAAAAATAAAAAAAAATAAACAATTGTTAATAAAAAAAATTTCTTTTGCATATTAAAATTAATTTTGTATTTTATTTTAAAATTTTTTATTTGTAGCAAAATTAATATATTTTAAATATAAAAGAATTTGTATATAAATTGTATTGTACATTTTGAATTTTATATTTTATATAATGTCTCCATTTACAATTGTTATTTATAATTTCTACAACATTTACGATTTCTACTGTATTTAAACTTAATTGCTAATATAATTTATATTTTTGCATGCTTTCCGTTTCGTTTAAATTTTAACGAAATGATTTTGTGTACTGCTTTCAAATCGTCGTCTTCGAATTCGTTTCATTTGTAAGATAATATTTCTTTATGTTAAATATGTAACTATAAATGTATAATTTTACTGTATTATATTATAAATAATAATAATTTGTAGCTTATTTATATATAATATATGTAACAAAAATGTACAAGTAGAAAACCGCAAAAAATTCCCAAACAATTTACTAACAATTTTACTTATCAAACTCAACTTTAGGTGGCGCAGTGCTTATCGAAGGTGTGCTTTTCCGTGCGAAATATTTGGGCTCTACGCAATTGGTATGTGAAGGACAACCTACTAAATCCACACGCATGATGCAAGCCGAAGAAGCTGTCTCCAGAATTAAAGTAAGTCTCTTTTATTTATTTTAATTAAATATATTTTAATTAGTCTCCGCTATTTTAAATTTATAAAATTTAAATTATTTTTATAAGTAGTCAAAGAATTGGCAAAAAGAACCCGCAGTCATTTAAAATAAAAATTTTTTTCATCTCATTTTTTTAGATAATAAATAACAAAATATAAAATATTATTATTAATAAAAAATACTATTTAATTTAATTTAAACGACAATATGACAGTAGTGATTATTTTTACCTAATATGAACAGTAGTATGCACAAGAACAATGCAATAAATAATGCCTCTACAAAAGTATAGAATTGAAATTTAACAATTAAAATTATAATTAAATAATTAAATTATTCTACAGCGGATTCATAATTTTATTCTAATATAACACAGCAAGAGAATTTCTTAATGAATTTTTACAACAAATTAACAAAACTCCAAGTTCAAACATACAAGTTAAGTACAGCTTTGAGTTAATTAGCTAATAAACACTGACTCTGAGCTTCAAATTTGGCAGGACACGAATTTAATCATTGGTACTTGCAATTTTAAAAAAATTAATTACGAATAATTATAAGAAATTATCCCAAGACCACTGATGTTGAATATTTGGAAATACTTGAAACAGCTGTATGGTCAGCTAAAATTCAATTAATTAAAATAATATAAAAAGAATTTTTGTTGTTGTAGTTCACTACTTTTCAAAACCTCTCTAAAAAAAGATTGTCTTATTTAAGAATAGCAAAGAGAGTTGAAATATAATTATTTAAATAATCCAATAGTTATTCTTATTATTAAGTTAGTAGATTTTAAACTGTGGCCTTAAGAACTACTGTGCCATCTTTATGAAAAGTATTTCTCTAAGTTCGATTTCGTTGATAAATTCCAGTATTATATTATATTTTGTTACCTGATTTACTAAGTGTTATTTTTTATTTAGATGAGTACCTAAGTATTTCTTTCGTTTTTATATCAATGCCATATAAACTCCCAGCACCTACTTAGAGGTTTCTTCTCTACAAAACTCGCAATTCCAATGTAATTCCCAGTTTTGTTTTAAGTTTTAAGTCAGAACTCCTATAATAATTATTAAGTTTTTTATATAGTTGAATATAAGATAAGCTGACTTAAGCATACAAATATATCCCTGAAAATAAAAACCAATCAAAGTTGAGTAAAGAACTACAAAAGTGTCAGCTAACGGCACTAAAATATGCTATCTGTTATAAGAATTGTAATCTATCAAATAAAGCATTTATCAAATATTAAATAAATTAATTTGAACAACTAAGAGTTCACTGTACAAATAAGAGCATAAAAATTAAAATATTTATTTGCCACATATAAACTAATTATGTATATAATTTGCATCATATCGAATTATAACGTCCAAATTATAACATTTTTAAAAAAACTTCAACATATATTATTTACACTGTTTAAAATTTTGCTTTATTTATTTTTTTCTATGAACTTCACTTTACCAATGGAAATTTTCAACCTATGTTTCTTAAGGCATTGGTAAGTCAAATATAGTTATATATGCTAAATAAATTCATATACCGAATTTCCTTCACACAAACTCATAAGCTTTCTATAAATTTTAGTACGATTATTTCTGAACCGCATTTTTTAAGTTTTTACTTCATTAAATAACATTTTACTTTCTTATAGGCTCCCGATGGTGATGTCCAGCCTAGCACTGAAGTGGATCTATTCATATCAACAGAAAAAATAATGGTGCTAAACACAGATTTAAAAGAAATTATGATGGATCATGCGTTACGTACTATATCCTATATAGCAGATATTGGTGATTTGGTAGTTTTGATGGCACGACGACGCTTTGTACCACAAGACATAGATGATGCACCCAAACCGAATAGAACACCAAAAATGATATGTCATGTGTTTGAGAGTGATGAGGCACAATTTATAGCACAATCAATAGGACAAGCTTTTCAAGTAGCTTATATGGAGTTCCTTAAAGCTAATGGAATTGAGGATCATAGTTTTGTTAAAGAAATGGACTATCAAGAAGTACTCAATAGTCAAGAAATATTCGGTGATGAATTGGAAATATTTGCAAAAAAAGAATTACAAAAGGAAGTTGTGGTACCAAAAGCAAAAGGTGAAATACTTGGCGTTGTTATTGTGGAGAGTGGATGGGGTTCAATGCTGCCAACTGTGGTTATAGCGAATTTAATGTCATCAGGTGCAGCTGCACGTTGTGGTCAACTAAATATTGGCGATCAGTTGATTGCTATTAATGGACTTAGTCTGGTAGGCTTGCCGCTTTCAACTTGTCAAACGTATATTAAGAATACGAAAAATCAAACTGTCGTCAAATTTACAGTAGTGCCCTGTGCACCTGTAGTGGAAGTGAAAATTAAAAGACCAAACACAAAGTATCAACTTGGATTTAGTGTGCAGAATGGAGTGGTAAGCGTCCTATAAACTATAAGATATTGAACAAATTCAAATTTAAATTAATTATATTTTTAGATTTGTAGTTTATTACGAGGGGGAATTGCTGAACGTGGTGGTGTCCGTGTAGGTCACCGAATTATTGAAATCAATAATCAAAGTGTGGTCGCGGTACCACATGAAAAAATTGTTAATTTATTGGCGACATCTGTAGGAGAGGTGAGTTGAAATTTGAACAACTATTTATTTGCTTTAAAATAAAACGTATGAAATGGATTTGATATCATTTGGTATATTATTTTAAATTTTTTAAAATCTCTAAATAGAGAATTGGTTCATATTATTTATTATTTGATACAACCTTCTCTTAAACCATTAATTTTTCTTAACTTTTAAACTCTTTCATCTATTTATTTTATTTTTTATATTATTATTTTTATATTATATTTTTATATTATTTTATTATACTTGCTTATTATTATTGTACATTTCGACTTATGGAATCTACTGTTGGCAAAGTCTATAGGAAGTCTCCCGAATCAACACATACTATCGTTGACAAACTTCATAATATCTATTAGTTTTTGGACCGTATTCGTTTAAATAAAAAACCGTAGAAGATTGCTGGATACACCTAGAGCAATCGCAGGTTAAAAGCGGATAAAATAGATCGGTATTTCAATCTGCATTTCACAGAGTCTACAACAAAAACGTCTTTTAATAATACATAATTCTTTCTTTAATATTCAAACTCTTATTGAAATACTTCATGTATTGCACATAACAAGGTCTCGCAACCTGAAACGTACTGTGAACTATAAAAATATTCAGTGTTTTGCAAAGACACTAACTTTTTCTACTATTTGTTTCTCAACAAATAATGTCCATAGCTTTTTATATACTTTATACACTGCATAACACACACAGTAAAAGATATTTTAATTTATGCTTGAAAACTATTTCTTTCACTAACATAATTTATAAGCCTCTATTAGATTAATTTTAATCTAAGCCTGGCACTTGCAGTCTAACAAATTAAATACTAACTATAAACTAATTAAATAAAAATTCGAATATTTCCTAAGAGGACTGATGATAAGTACTTGGCAATACTCGAAACAATGTATGATCACCCAAATTTCAATAAATTAATCAAATTTGTGTTTTTGTTTCTTCATTACTGTTCGAGACTTTATAATTTTTAATTTTTATTTACAAATACTCTAATGTATAATTTTTACGAACCATCGTAATTCAGAAACTCTATATTATATTATATATATAATATAATATATATTATTTGAAGTAAAGTACTATATATAATATATATACATATATTATATATCTTTTTTCTAGATTCTTATGAAGACAATGCCAACCTCAATGTTCCGATTATTAACCGGCCAGGAAAATCCGATTTATATATAAATATTGAGTAAATGTAATTATAATTATTAATTGTAATGAACTCTTTATTATAGACATTACTATATAAACATTTAGTCTATGTAAGTGATTAGAAAAGAAAATGTAAAGGTAAACTGTTAACTAAATAAATTAATAAAATTATAAAATTGGAAGCAAACATTATATATTATGCAAAAAGATATAAAATAATAATGAAAATGAAAAGAAGAGTAGATTTCTTTATTGTTTGTACACAAAAAAGCATATAGGCAGCGTAAATATAAACCAAATATATATCTATTTATATGTGTAAACCTTTGAAATAAATTTAGTATTTTTTCAGTATAATCGTAAATCGCTAAGTTCGAATTATAACTATTATAAAATATTATAAATGTTTTTTAAAATCATAAGTAAATTAATGGCATATATAACACAGCGCTAAAATGATTGATTTAATTAACACTTTAAGGCAGCCAGCCATAAAAGCGAGATCTATTGATATATATATTTATTGTAAATTAACAAACCAACTTGATGACCTTTATGAAAATCGTCCTTAGCTTAGTTGCATTGAATATATAAAATCGCATATACGCATATATAATTATATATAAAAATTATAACATGAAAGTATAACTTTAAAATAAAATTCAAAATACAATAGATATTTATATAAAGTTCTTTTTTAATAACGCCTCTAAAATGTACCAACACCACCCGCATTAATTTTAATTAATATTAATTGCAAAAAAATTTATTTATTATTTTAAAAATATACTATATTTATGTATAAATATATATATTAAGAATTATAATTTATTTACGCTAGTGTATAATTGAAATTGCATATTAATATAGTTTTGATATAAAATTAAATATGTTAGCAGAATACTATATATATATATATATACATATAAACGTTTACATAAAAAGCATATATATATACATAATTTTAGTTTGAATGTTGTAATTTATAAATTAAAATAAAATCACACTATTTAAAACAAAAAATATCTATATATACCTATATATAAATATACATATAACTGTTATAGGGACTAGCTTAGAAATTAAAATATAATTCGCTTTATAATTTTAACACAAATTGAGAAGAACATTAAAATAAGCTCACTGTGTTCTAAAAAAATTTACTTTAAATAAATGAAGATATATGTACATAATTATAGTAATATTTTATGTATTTTTTATTAAAAATTTTCTGACTGCAAGTTTTACCAAAAGATCATAGTTAAACTTTCCGAAAAGAACTAGTATAACATCTCACAACCTCCAATGATATTCTTCTTAAGTACTTATCGCAACTAAATTATGCTGAGCCCGGTTTTTTAAGTAAAAACCCGAAGCTGTCACAACGGCTAAATGCAAATATATTAGTGCTATAATTATTAAAAAAAAAATAAGAAAACATTTTACATAGGCTTTACAAGATATATATGCTTAATTATCTATTTATTTAAAAAATATCTCTACATACTAAAATCTATTTCTAAAGGTGTTCTTTTAGTAACAATGGTTCAACATTTGCTGATTAAGATTTATATTTCGAATTTCAATAAAGCATAACACTAATTTTTCAGTAACTTATTTAACAATTTATATTTATAAAGAATAAATTATGGTTTTGAGCAAATAAAAATAAATAAAAAATATGCTACATAAAGGTTCAAATGCTTTCTACCAATTCTTTATTTTAAGTTTGTAGTTTTCATGTTATCGGAATAACAGATTATAATTTTTATAATTAAACTATTTTAATATATTATTTAATTGAATGTATCTAGTCATCTAGTCTTGATAATCGATAATAGTTTTTAAAGATCATTAACTTTTTAGTTGTAATGGATAAAATGGAATTTATAGATTATATGATCATAACAACTTCATATAGAAAGAGACAACATAATCGGTTGAATCTTGAAAATCGATAATAGTTTTTTAATATAATCTAACTTTTTAGTAAATGAAAGATAATGGATTATAGTTTTCATTATTATAAACAATTTAATGTATGATTTTATTAAGAGGGTCAATTTAAGCTCTTCATATAGGATTACTTCCATGTTCACAAACTTTATAATAGATGATAAATAAGGGATTATTGTTTTTATCAAAAATTTTTTGATTTGTTTTTATTTTCCTTGTTATTTATTACAAGTACTTAATTTACAAGTATGCTTAACATTCCAGTCCTTATTCTTAGTTACCTTAAGGTCCTATGCTCCACTGGGAGTTAATGGAACAAAGAAGAAAAGAAAGAAAAAGTATGCCTAACAGTCCAGTCCTTATTCTTAGTTAACTTAAGGCCCTATGCTCCACTGGGAGTTAATGGAACAAAGAAGAAAAGAAAGAAAAAGTTAATTTAAAAATTAATTTTAATGTTTTCTCACAAATAAATAAATAAATATACAAATATGAATATACATAACATTAACAGACACATTATCTGGTTATCATTAATGCTTCAATATATATACTATATATATACATATATTTAAAACCCACAACTTAAGCTCTTAGGAATGAATAATGTTATTTATAAAAATGAGCTTTTTGTGATTTTTTTTATAAAATATATAAAGATTTCTTTTAAATCAGTTATTAGAGCTACCAATTTTACACTTTTCAGTGTTTAATAATCCTTTAATTGGACCAAAAAGTTAAGTTTGTCTCTTTCAGTCCCTTTCAACATTACAATATTTGAACAATTCTTCATATCTTTCTGAAACACATTAAATTTAAAAAGAACTTAGTACTTCCAAAAGTTTTTTACCGTTGAGAGTGGGAAAAAAAACTCAGATCAATGAGAATTGGAAAAAAACTCAGATCAATGTTTAACAATGAGTATATCTTATCTCTCACTATAAGTTATTTGCAGATATAATTCAAAAAGAAACTATAAATTGTAAGTTCTATATTGATGTTTAGTATTTGCAGCAAGTTAGTGCTGGCGAATAATATCTTCACTCTTTTTATGTGTTATAATCAATAATAATAAAAATAATTATAAACATCCATAAAAGCATTTTACTTATTGTTATTTCTTTTAGTAAGCAGATATAATGTTTTGAGTTCATCAAGACCTATACTATAAGAATTTAAAAAAAAATTATCTCAAGTAGCCAGCATTTCTTTGTAATAAGTTCCGAATATAAACGACATTGTCTCAAAAAAAGTTTGCTACCAAAGAATATTATATATAATTAATTAATAATTTTATTAAATATTTGAAAATAATTTATAAAAAATAAAAATTTGAATACTACGATTAGTGAAGCTTTACAGTATTTTAAATTTTCCAAATTTCTACATTTAAAAAAAATTTAATAGCTTTATAGCTTTCACAATTCTACACAATAACTTTCGAATATAATTATTACAACCTCTTATTTTACATTAAAGTTATAGCTTTTTATTTGTTACATTAAAATAAATAAAGAAATTTTTTATTAAAATAAAAAAGAAAAAATGCAACAATTTATTGATATTAACAGAAATAATAGCTTAAATATAATTTTAATAAATTTATATTAATTATACAGAAATATTAAATTAAATAATTTTACTAAATTAAGTATATAAACATTGTAACTGCTCAGTCTTTGCCTTTAACTAGTGTGTCTTACAAGAGATATTAAATTATTTAATTAAACTTATTAAACATAAATATGATTTATTCGAAACAATTTATAAATAATGCAAAGACTTCATTTTCATAATAGTAAAATAAACACAAAAATATCGTAACTACTTTAAATTAAACAGCAAACATTTAGATATATAAATAAGTACATTTACAATTTATTTATATTGTTTATAACTTTATTTTATTTTATGAATTTATTAAAAAAAATGTACCCACTTTCATTAATACTATATATACACACAAACATACACACTCAGTAGTTACACTAAAAAAACTTATGGATGCATATTTTTATTTTCTCCAAATAAATAATTAATTCAAACTATAAAAGTCCTAGAAAATCACAACTAAACATTAAAACAAAATTTGATTAAACCAAAAGTATATAAAAATAAGTGAAATTCTACTAAAATGTTATACTAAAATTATGTATAAATTGTGTAATAATAATGCGAAACTAATTATTTATTATTCATTACAAATGCTTAGAACCTATTTGAAAAAAAAAAAAATTATAAGGAAATCATATAAGCAAAAAACAATTCTTATAAATATAACCACTTATATAAGTAATAAAGCATAAAAATAAAAACTATATATTTAAATGAGACAGTGTTTTATTTAAATTAAGTGTTAATATTAATTACATCGACCTCCTCTATATATATTAGCGGTATTCACGATCATCAGCAAGGAGCTCGGTAACTAAATAGTGTAGTAACAGTACAAAATAGCTTCAATCAATTACTTTTACTCGAACTGTATCTCGTTGCTGCTACTTGCCATTATTGCTACGTTACTCAGCCACCGAGGTTGTTACTCGATATCGTGGATACCACTATTATAGTGTTAAGTCTTAGATCCAGTTTCACACAGCCGTAACTTAAGTCTCAATGCTAACTCAAGTCATGCTTAAATCATCAGTATTGCTGTCTTAATTTATACTTAAGTCAGTTTTGAGACAAAGTTATGATAGTGATCGACCCTAATAAAGCAAGCAATCTCTTTACAGCTAATATTATGCATATTAAGTATAAGTGAGACCTGCCGCTGATTTCACACGTCTTGTTTGATGATTTATGCAAAAAATTTAATGTAGTTAACGAGTTCTCACATATAAATTTATATATATTATTTATTAAAATCTAAATTATATAAACTTAGTTGCAAATCATACTACGAATATTTACACAGAAATTATAGATTTGATGAAATTTTATTTAAAAAGCTTTAACGAATAACTTGTTTTCGAGTACAAAGTAGTTTGTTTATAGAAATCTATTTAAAACGTTATTAGAGATTCATATACATTTTTTAGATATTTCTTAATATTCTTTAAAATATTTCATAACATACATACATTTTATTAATGTTAATCCTAAGTAAAAAATTAATTACTGATATTTAATGTGTATGGGTAAAATTTAATAACAAAAAATTTATTTTCCAGACCACATAAATGTATATTAAATTATTATTCGTTAATTCACTTGATTTGTTTTAAAAAAGAATTACATTTTAAATACAGTGTTACTCTTCGAATTAATTGAATAGATTTAAACTTTAAACGATTTTTTATTTAATTTTTTTTTCACAAAAACAATATGTAAGGATGTTTATTTTGGCATATTCTTACTTATATATAAATATGACTAATATTAAAAACCTAAAAATAAAACATTTTTAACCAAAATTATGGTATCTTAAACATACAATAGAAAAAATTAATATCTCCAAATTGTATTTTTTCTTTTAATCAAAAACGATCATTAAATATGTTTTGTTAACTACCAGTTCGAGACAAATAAAGAAACAAACAAAAAACTAAACAAAAAATAATAAAAAAAATTAAATATGTAAAAAATACAAGATATATAAAAAATACTAAAAATAAATAATCAAAATGAAAAATTTCTGAGTAGGAATATTTTAAAAACTATAAATATTTTAACCCTCATCACTGTCAGTTGTATAAACGTGATTAGATTCTCTAATACTTTTTCTTACATACGCACCATTTGGTGTCGACTTTCTTTCCCACATTTCTGTTCTAGAAGTAAAAGCTCTGTTTTCATTTATAGCATGTTTTACTTGGTTATAAATTCTATCATTTTTTGTAATATAATTATCATCTTCAGATATATCATCCTCATCAGTAAGTGCTTCATGTTTATGATTTCGTTTTGGTTGAGGTTGAACGTTTGTTGAATTATATGGTACATTATCACTTTCTGAAGAACTTTCTTCACTATCCACGTTTTGCCTAAATTCTTCAAAAGAAAGCATTTCATCATCACTTAAATGCGATGAACCTTCCACAAAACTAGCGAAGCGTAAAGGATCCTTTAATTTAGTAATAACCTATGTAAAATAAAATTAAAAAATGTATATACCATTAGCAAATATATGTACTTATTCATTCAATTATTTACCTGCCATTGCTTGCATTTTGGACTACTAACAAAAGTGCGCAACTCTTCTAATGCTTTCGATGTTTCAAGAACTCCTTGTTCATAAAATTCCTCACTACTAAGCAGACGACGTTTGGGTGGAAAATAGCGTAAATAATATCCTCTGAGTTTATAAATAAGAGACAATGGAAAATAGTTTATCACAACTACTATGATAGCAGCAGCAACAGCTGCCGCTTCAAAATGACTCGAATAGTATATTAAAACCAATGATAGCAACTGCATAAGCCATCTAATTATGTCTTTAGAACGCTGATTTTTTGGTGGACCCATACGGTAACAAAAGAAGAACGCTATTATTCCCGTTGTAATAATATACCCAAGCACATAATTATGATATGTAACAAGAATAACTTGCAAATTTTCCCAAATTTTTTGTAACATATAAACGCCAATAGTCCAACCGCCAATTAGGATGCCATAAGTCATTGTTCGTCTAAATAATAAACACTATATTTTATTCACGTAAATTGATGTGTATATAAAACTTAAAATTAATTTACCTTGGAAATAATTTACTCGATAACCAAATAAGTAACATAAAAGATAAGCTTATCCCCAGTATGATGCCAGTAATATAATAAAATAAAGGATTTTCACTTAATTTTCTGGCATAAAGAAACATAAATGTGCCGGAAAGCAACAGGAATACCCTTATAACATCTATACGTTCTTGTATCAGCGTCAAACGATATGGTTCGCCCGATACAATACCTATACACTTGGGTGCAAAGGGCGACAAAGATAATTTTGTGCGTTTTTGCGTAAATATGTTAAAGCTAAACAACGACAATTTAGCTTCATAGTGCTGCACCACTTCTTCGGGCGTTGTTCCTTCATATTGTGTATAATCATCTCCTTCAATATCCAAATGCAGTTTCAAGCTTTCGAGAAACTTTGTTACATCCTTTGCCGTACCATTATAGCAATAAGTATGAAGATCAGTTTGGAAAAATCCAGTGCGCTTTAATCGTGGATGGTAGTCATATATCGAACCAGGTTTCAGTACGGTAACTGTTGAAAACATACTACAATAATTTAAAATAAGAATGTAATTATAACAATATTACCATTATTATTTACTACAGTCGCTGCTGAAGTGAGTATGCCGGCAAACGTAAGCAAATATATTACACATAGTTGGTGCATAACTACTAATTTAAAACCAAATGATGCTGTATTCAAAACTATACATGAACTATTGAAATTATTATAATTTTTACCGATTAAAATAAATTTGTAAAAAAAAACGTTTAAAATGCTTGGCTTGTAGTTATTTTTTAATATTTGTACAGAGTTGCCAACATAAAATTCTAAACAAATTTTTATTAAATGTCAATGTCATTAATTTTGTCACATCGTGAAATTGTTTTCGATCTTTCAGTATAAAAAAAAACTAATGCCATTTTCGATTAGTAAATCTGGGAAAACTTTTTCAATCGAAATTCACTTTAGCGCAATTTTCATTTTCAATTGCCAAATATCGAGCGAAACATGTATTACCTTATTATGTATACTAATAAAAAAATTTATAATAGAATATTTTTTCAAAGGTAAGTGTTTGATAACGAAATATATAATGATACATATATATGTGAAAGAATACAGTAGCTGTTTTGAACACGGAAAATTATAGCAACGCGATAAACTACAATTGATCTAATTCTGCTTCTCGCAGAATATAGTATATATATATATGCAAAACAAAAGTGGAATGCTATTAAAAAGCATCAATTTTTGTTATTGTGCAGTAAGAATAATAACTGAACAACAAATAAAAACAAGTAGAACTCTTTATGCACAAAGAAACATAAAACAAAAAAATAAATTTATATCGATAAGATGTTTATATCATAAAAATTCTTGAGAAATTTAAAAAGAAATAAATATGACATTGAAAGCTTCTACTTGGAGATACCATAGTGCAAATAAGCACTTTTCTTACGGCCCTCGTATTTCATCAATATTTTTATTACTAGTGGCAACACTTTTAAACAGCTGTTTAATATCTTAAGCATTTTATTTACAGTTCTACATTGCACGTGCAAATGCAATTCCGGTTAAAACTTAAATTTGTTTATGCTTAAAAATGTCTCTTAAAGTTGAAATAATTGTAGGCACATATGAAGAATTCTTACTTGGTTACAAAATTGTTCAAAAAGTAAATATGCAAAAATATATTGTTACATATTAATATATGTATGTATATCCACATTTCGTATTATTACCTTTCAGGATGATAAAACTGTTTTGACTCAATCATTCGCTGATAAATCACATTCTGCAACTATTAAATGCGTTGCCGTTAAAGGAGAATGGATAGCAACTGGTGCAGCAGATGATCGTATATTTATATACAACATGCGCTTAAGAAAACAATCACAAGTAATCTATATTTCATATTTCCAAATCGTGTTATAAATTATATTTCATTGCCTCAGATCATACTTTCACATGAAGGCACAATTAATGCGTTGTCTTTCACTCCCGATGAAACACATCTTTTATCTGGAGGTGATGATGGTCAAATGGTTGCAACACGTCTAAAGACTTGGTTTAATGAAGCTACATGGAAAAAAGCACATAATGGTTCAGCAGTCACACATATATGCTGTCACCCAAGTGGCAAACTAGCTTTATCTCTTGGTTCTGATCTTGTGCTACGTACATGGAATTTGGTTAAAGGAAGAATTGCTTACAAGACAAATTTAAAGAGCAGAAACACATTAGGAAGTATGCCTGATTGTTTGGCCTGGTCTTTATCTGGCGATTACTTTAGTATAAGTGGTCAACGTCTAGTTGAAATTTGGTCAATAAAAACCGCGGATGTTGTGTTAAGCCAAAAAACAAAATCGAAACCTATTTGTGCAGCATGGATAACAAATGAAGCATGTCTTATCGGTTTAGAAGATGGCAATATTTTATGGTTAACACTGAATGAAGAAAAAGAAGAAGAGGTACAAAGTTTTTTAACACTATTATATATAGACAGGTTTCAAAATTTAACAATTAAAAATATGTTTCATCATACCATGATAATGTCCTTGCTTCTGCGTAATACAGAAGCACAGGTAGGATGAGTGACTTATAGAGCGTAAGTTTTGTTTGTGGAAAGAGAGCTCTACATCCCAATTGCCCACTGAGCCCATAGGAGCACTTACTAGCAGTAGTGATTCTTTGTCTAATCTTCAGGCTGATGACGTTGTTGTTTGTCACCATGGCACCAAGGTAGATGAAGTCCTTGACATATTCGAAAATTTAGTCGATAGCCTAAATCTACGTCCAACCGAAGTACATTTCTACCAGTAGACAACATATACTTCGTTTTGCCCTGATTCTCCGCTAAGCTCATTTTCGCAGATTCTTTTTCAATAGCAGTAAAAGCGGCTGTAACATCACGCTTGCTATGCGCAATGATGTCGATGTCGTCGGCGTATCTAAATATAATTAATTCAATTATTCTATAGCTGGTTTATGATTTCGTTCTAATAAAACACAGCAAGTGAATTTGTTAATAAACGTTTATATTAAATTAACAAAATTCCAAATTAGTACATACAAGTGCAGCTTTCGATCAGTTGGATTATTAATACTGACTCTGAACTCAAATTTGGCAGGGCACAAATTCAATCCTTCGTACTTGCAGTCTCAAAAATATTATTTACGAATAATTAAATATAGAAACAATTCCAAAACCACTGATGTTGGGTATTTGGCAACACTCGAAACAGTTGTATGGTCAGCTAAAACTTCAATTCATTAAATAATATAAAAAATAATTGTTGGTTGTAGTTTACTACTTTTCGAAACCTCTCAACAAAATACAATAGTTTCTATTAAGTAAAATAATCACCATAATCATAACTGACGTTAAATTACAATTTATTATTATATATATTAATTTACGCTTTAAAACTATTTTAGGAAACACTTATTAATGCACATAATGCAAGGGTTAAAGCAATGTGCTTCTACAAAGATATATTAGCAACAACATCTAGGTAATTGCAAGTTTATGAAAATAATTAAATAATAAATATAATATATTTATTTTTTAGTTCAGGAGAAGTTAAAGTGTGGCACTTAGACTTAAAGTTTAAAAAGCTCAAAGTAATAGCTACTACAAATATTGGTTGTCGTCCTACTTGTATAGCTTTATTGGATTTAGAACAATTTGGAGAAGACTATGTACTAACCAAAACTATTGCAGAAAAACAGGAAATTATTGTTGAGAAGAAATTAGTAAAAAATGTGAAGCCAAGGGGTGTTGTAACTATTGAATACGAAAATGAAGATGATGATATTGCAAAGCAAGACATTAAGAAAATTAAAGAAAAAAGGACTGATAAATCTAAAAAAAGACGGCATGAAACAAGCGAAGAAGAGAAAGATGATGATAGCATTGAAAACGATGATGATGATGATGAGGTTAATGAAAATAAGGATGAGGTTGAGGATGATGATGAGGTTGACGATGATGATGATGATAATGAGATTGGCGATGATGATGACACTGAAAATGAGCTTTCAGCTAATGACGATGAATTTGGCATCGATAATCCATCTGAAGAAGCGAGTTCAGAAGAAGACACTCCATTTAAATCTGTGAGAAATAATCAAAATAATGCGAAAAAGTCAAAATTAAGTAAAAATTCAAAAAGTGTTCCACATAAAAACGTTAAAAAAAGCAACTCGTTTAAAAAAAAAACAAACAAGTAGAAACAAATAATAAAAAAATGTAAGTAACAGTACTTTTACACTATTTCATTTAACTAAGTAGCAAGAATAACTAACCATTTATCATATAAAATGTTCTTATGAATTTGTCCACCCCATATTTATAGTTTACATTATTGATTAGTTAAATTAATAAAAAGAATTTGTGGTTATAAATTACGACCAGCGCATTCTCTTACACGTTAGTATTCACTACTGACGATAATTTCAAATGGCTTACAAAAAGAAAATGTCGTTGATTGTATTTTATAATTAAAACTAATTTATTTTTTTTCCTACAAACTTAATTTATACTTACATATATTTAACAATATAAAATATATAATATACTGAATATAAATGTATACATGTACAAATTAGTATTCATTTATAATCACTTATAACATTTTAACTCTTTATAACAATTTTTAGTTTCATATAAGTCAAACATTTTAATTATACATTTTTTCTCCTAATAATAGTGTAATATTAAAGAATTGCATTAGCAAAATTTAAGCATTGCATTTAGCTTAAATTTAATATTAATTAGTTTAGTATCTTTGGTTAGAAAAATAAAAAACAGCAGACTTCATGTTATCATTTAAAAATATAAAATAGTTTTCAGAAAAATAGTCAGATTAGGTCAAGTTTTGAAAGCATTTTGGCTATATACAATAGTTTTCTTTATGGTGTTGACGGGAATGTAAAGTAGACTTTTAAGTTTCAAATATAGTTTCTACTCTTCATACTAACATATTTTTCAATAATTTCTTTCCCGCACACATTTACATTATAACAACTTCAATAATCACATTAACATAAATAATATAAAATACAATCTTCTTATATTCAAATGAATTAGAAATAAATTGTCTAAATATTTTGGAATATTATACTAAGGGCTCAAACATTATATGTAGGAGCTGAGCCTTAATGTTTATAGTACGTTTTACAATAAAATATTATTGGATATTAAATAAATATTAATTAAATATTAACAAATTAATAACGAAAAAGAAGAAACAATTTAGTAAAACGTTATTTAGTTTTTAGATACTATCCTATATATTTTCACACATAGATTAAACTTTATAATCTAAATTTTTAGTGAAATTGTCAATTTCAAAATAATATAAATTAATGCTTAATGTATGTAATTAATTTGTTATAAAATATTGTAATAATTTTATATATAAGCTCTCAATCAAGGGCCGAAGAATATTTATAAAAAAATGAAAAACATAACGTAATGGTGGAAATAAATTGCATATGTAGTTTTTTATTGCCTCCAGCAATGGAAGTAATTGTCAGTTATTTTCTTGGATATGTAAATAAATGTCAAGTTGGTCATTGTTTTCATTATCAGTCGCTCTATCATGGTAACACCAAACCATGTCTTCATTAAATTTATCTCGATGCGCTAAATTTTTGTATACAAAAAGTTGATTATTGTCAATATAAGCTGAGCATGGATAGCACCAAACTGACAAATCACTAAAACTTAAAACCATTGGGTGATCTGTAGAAACACTATGCTGCATCATATGCTCATTGACATAACGACCGCAATGTACTTCAAAACAAGTTAAACATATCCAGTTCTCGGCAGTTGATTCACATTGTTTACATGCTGTATTTGTATTTATTCCTAAAATTATAAATTTTTGTAATTAAAACTGTATTTTTATAATATGAAATTTTAGAGTAAGAGAGAGAGGAGGAGCGATAGAAGCACGGAAACAGAAACAAAAAGTATTAAAAATATAAAATAAAAGCAACCATAAAGGATAAGTGTATTAAATAATATGTACTTTTAATAGTGCTTCAAAGTATTCGAGCTTTACGATGCTTGAAAAGTTCGTATATACTTGCATTCGAACATTCAAATCAAACAGTATACTCGAATTCGAAAAGTTCGTGTATACCCGAATTTAAAGAGTTTGTGTACACTCGACTTCGAAGAGCTCGTGCATACTTGAATTCGAAGAGTTCGTGTATACTCGAATTCGAAAAGTTCGTGTACACCCGAATTTAAAGAGTTTGTGTATACTCGACTTCGAAGAGCTCGTGTATACTCGAATTCGAAGAGTTCGTGTATACTCGAATTCGAAGAGTTCGTGTATACTCGAATTCGAAGAGTTCGTGTATACTCGAATTCGAAGAGTTCGTGTATACTCGAATTCGAAGAGTTCGTGTATACTCGAATTCGAAGAGTTCGTGTATACTCGAATTCGAAGAGTTCGTGTATACTCGAATTCGAAGAGTTCGTGTATACTCGAATTCGAAGAGTTCGTGTATACTCGAATTCGAAAGAGTTCGTGTATACTCGAATTCGAAGAGTTCGTGTATACTCGAATTCGAAGAGTTCGTGTATACTCGAATTCGAAGAGTTTGTGTATACTCGAATTCGAAGAGTACGTGTATACTCAAATGCGAAGAGTTCGTGCATACTCGAATTCAAACAGAACAGTTTATGTATGCTCGAATTCGAACATTCGAACCGAACAGTTCGTATATATTCAAATATTCAAATCGAACACTGTAAATATTCGAAAATAATCGAGTTGCTTTCAGATCTTTGAGATACTTAAACAAATCAGCGCTTAAAAGCGCTCAAATAAATATTTAAAGCACTAGTTTGTACCCTGAAATAAATATCTTACAAATAAAAAGTAGAACAAAATTGTATGATATATGATTAAATTATATACAATATGATACCAAATAAAAACAAAAAAAAATTTTAAAGAAACTACTAATTATAAAAAGAAAATATTGTAAATGTAAAAAGAAATTATAAAAAAGTATACCCATTATACAAAAGTAAAATATTAATTAGAAATTAAAATATCCCAACAGATACAGATACACAGTAGCACAGCACAATAAGCTTAACAACTGATAAAAATAATCTTTAAAAATCAAACGTACAAATTTTGCTACACGTTAAAACAAAAAACACGTCATTTCGAAAATAATCTTTAGTGTTTCATAATTATCTTGACACTGCTTACTTTTAGGCGCTTCCTCAGGACGTAATCGTATACAATGTGGACATGTTTTTAATGGAACGACAGCAAAACATTCATTATTCTCTAAAGCCTGATGAATGATTTGGCAATACGTAAAAAAAAATATGTAATATAGAATGTGTTGTTAATGTTTGTGTATATTCCGCACATATTTAATTATTTAAATTACCTCTAAATTCTCGCTAATAAATTCTGTTAAAGTTTTATCTTTTACCTTCGGCTTAATACCACTTCCTTCAAGTGTTTCATGCATAACGATTGCATCTAAGCCACCAACAGCTCCTTGCATATCATCCGTCGTGATATCTAAATTTTTCATAGTAGCAGCAAGAAAATCCTCATTGTTGTTTTCACCAGAACATTGCGGTAATTTTTTATTGAATTGTAGACATTTCCAATAACGTTTTTGAACGTTTATACAATTTTGTAAAGTTTCAACGCAATTTAAATAAGCAACAGTTGGTGGACGGGTGATATTGCCATTGAATTGCACAGGTGGTATAGGATCACCAAGTAATGATTTTGTACACATAGTCATTGCATATGATATAGAATTGACATTATAGCCACCTTCAAGACAAATAATTAAACGACCATTTGCTAACGCCGATAACCAATGCGTAAAAAGTCCATATGCTTCTGGCGTTACTTTACAACCACCTAAAGGATCACCAATAGCAGCATCAAACCCAGCGGATATTAGCACTAATTCAGGATTAAATTCATAAGCAATTGGCATTATTATTTGTTGAAAAGCCATAACATATTCCAAATCACCCATGCCTTTCTGTATATATAAAGAATTAGTACAAAACTGAGCAAACAATACTACAAAAGTTTTAAAAAATATTTACCTTATTCCAAGGTATATTTACATTGAAGCCTATTCCTGCACCTTTGCCAACTACATCATAATCAGCATCTTTACTCTTCGGAAAGAACGACGCATTGTCATAACGATGTACGCTCATATACAACACTTTGGGATTTGATTCAAATATATGTTGAGTGCCATTACCATGATGTACATCCCAATCTACAATGAGTACACTAAAATAATTTAGATTAATATTAAAAATTATAGTAATTATTTGCGCATAACCTACCGTTTAAGGCCATGATCCCTTATTGCGTATTGCGCTGCTATTGCTACATTATTAAAAATGCAAAATCCGTGCGGTACATCTGACTCAGCATGATGTCCAGGTGGGCGTACAATGCACACACCACTGCGAGCCTCTCCTTTAAGTACTTTGTCAACAGTGCTGAGAACAGAACCAGCTGCCAAAGTGGCACATTCAAACGTTTTAGGATGGAAGTATACTGAATTGTATTTTGAACCCATGGTTTGCAATTCATCTTTTTCACCAATACGTCGAATGAAATTAACATGTGATCGGGTATGTGCAAGGCAAATTTCATCGGTTGTAGCGTGGCGAGATGGCATATGTGTCATACGATCAATTAAATTGAAGTCCATATGCATTTCATATATCTTCCTAATGCGCTCTGGTTGTTCAGGATGTCCTTGCTCAAAAGTATTTGTATGCTGCATCATCATTTCATCATAAACGTAACACACTTTTATCTTCGGCGTAAAAAGCTTTGTTTCTAGGAAAAAAGAAATTCAATTAATTTAATTAGTTTTATAACAGTAGCTAAACAAGTTTTATTGTTAAAAATCATAAAAGCAATATATGACAATAAATTTTAATAATTTTTAATATCTATTAAATCTTATTTCACTGTATTGTAAAGCTAAAATATACCTGCTTTAAGCCACTGCAGTCGCTGTTGAATTCGTAGTATATCTTCAAGTTTTTGTACTGGCGCAGTACCTCTTGTAGGAAAACGTTCCGGCAAAGGTGGTCCGCCCACAAAGACTCGACTTATTTTATGTAAATTATTTTGTGGATTTACATTATTAAGCTCTTCAACAGTATATGTTGACTGTGCTTGCAGACACCTCCAATACGGACGGTGTGCATAAATGCAATTTAAAATTGTTTCTTGTATTATTTCAGAAGGTGGATCTAATTTTTCTACTAAAACAGGACACGGATCACCAAGTAAAGTGCGCAAAGTCAAAGCTGCGCCTTCAGCTAAGGATTCAAGACAATATCCACCTTCCAGTATCACAGCAAGACGAGATTGAGCCAATTTTGATAATGTATTTAAAAGATGCGCATAACATGCAGGTGTTACTTCCATTTCACCTTCCGGACAACCAAGTGCAGCATCATATCCAGCAGATATAATTATCAATTCTGGTTGATATTCCATTGCAACAGGTACCAATATTTGTTGAAAAATTGCCAAATAATCGCCATTGCCCATGCCAGTTTTATTCAATGGTACATTAAAGTTATAACCCATACCTGCACCATGCCCAATTGCATCAAAATCAGACTCTTTTAAGTTAGGCCAATATGTACCATGTTCAAAACGATGTATTGAAAAGTAAAGTACTCTGTAATTATAAAAAAAAAATATTAAAGCTAATTTTTAACAAATATTTACTTTATTATTTACCTTGGATCGTGATAGAAAAATCTCTGTGTTCCCTGACCATGATGTACATCCCAGTCAATTATCATTATTTTATTTAATTTCAACACATCTAAGGCATATTGTGTGGCAATTGCAACATTGTTGAAAAAACAATATCTGTTGCAGCGTAATTAATACAAAAATATTAATTTTAGAATATAAATATTGGTAAATTAATTTAAGTACCCATTAAATTCAGCTTTCATTGCATGATGTCCAGGAGGTCGTATAATTGCCATACCATTTTGTACAGCGCCATTTACTACGTTTTCAATTAAATCAATTGTTGAGCCAACCGAAAGTAATGCTAATTCGAATGTGGACTGAAATTTAAAGATAATTTCAATTCTAATTACTTTAATTAAGAATACAAATTTCATTTACCGGATGAATGTAAATTGAGTCATATTGTGAGCTTAAATCTTCCATTTTCTCGTCATCTACTACGCCGGAAGTTTTTTCCAACAGTTTATAATGTTCTTCACTGTGTAAGAGCATAATTTCATCTTTAGAAGCAGGACGGGATGCTATTTGCTTGCAGCGATCAACCAAATCCAATTCTTTGCATCTACATTTTTTCAGATATAAAAATTTTATTAAATAATGCACTGATAAATATTAAATATTTTATTAAAAAATAATTAACACATTTTAATATCATATTATATTTTGTCATCATAATATAACACCAATAACTTATAAAGGCTGTTTATCTTAACTACTATCTTAGTTTGGCTTAAGTAAAACCATAGAATCTGATTTAGATAACGATAATTAGATAACTTGTTACCTCAACTGTATTAAGCATCAGTTTATGAAACTGACCTCAAATGAAAGCCCTGTATTACGCATAATATCTTATTATATCATAGTGAAAGCAGTACAAAAGTAAGTATTAGTGTTAAAGTTTCGTTTGCACGACTAATTGAGGTTTTTATTAATTTTAAGTTACTACTTACTGATACCTAAATGATCTAAATAGGTCTTGAACTGCATAAATTCAGTAATTTTATTTCAATATATATTACGAAGAGTTTTGTTAAGAACAGAATTACAATAGGAGCACTATATAGTTATATCTGGTAATTAAAAGAAGTATGATATACTAGCTTTGATGGCAAAACCGTGCTATAATAAGAACATATATATGATTTCTTTGCTTAGCGCAAAGGTCATCTCTGTAATTTCGGACACATAGTCACTCTACAACTCAATTTTTTTTTGGCATTGATAATATAAGTCGTTCTTGTAAGTATTTTTAAAGTTTCGATTTAAAAGCAGACAAGGAAATTATAAAACATATTCTGCGTTTCAGATATACATTTGGTATGCTTCATATATCATTAACCAATCGTTTCATATCTTCCCTGTAAATGCTATTATTATATACCCTATTTGCTCAATAATTACTCAACTTTGTTAAGGTTGACAGAAACTCCAGCCATTTATCTACAGCAGTAATACCAATTACAAATTACCAAAAGCGTCCCTGTCGACGTCCCCGAAACACTCATCGAGTTCAACGACCATGTGCCGTCAAACACTCCCAAAATGGTCTATACCAGAAGATCTATGACAAAAACAGCAAATACAATTTACTAACTTAAATGTTAATAATACAATTATGGGTTAAGTTACTAAAAAATGGAGCTTTACAAAATTTTGAGTAAGTAATGCAGAATATTGTGCAAAAAGACAATCGAATTTAATTAAGTATCGTTTGAAACGTTATATCGAATCTTAATTAAAATAAATTTAACAAAATATTTCAATTAGTGGTTTTAGGTGCGATCGGGTTTACGTCCCGAAGCCATTCGTTTACACTTACGCCTCACACTACTCCGAACTGGGGCTATACCTGCAATTCCTCTCGGATCACAACAAAAACAACATAAGCAGTTAAATACCAAAATTCGTTATTATCGTTAATCGTTAAGGTTATTATTTAATGAATGCGACCACCAACATACGAATATGGATATGCAACCAAAGAAAAAGGGCGGTCAGGTATACGTCTAGCCACGAAGTAACGTGGAGTATACACTCCAAAAACGTCGCATTTTGGAGTAGCATTAAGCTACCTTGTCTTTTCAAATGGGTAAATACCTCTAGCGATAACAGTATAATCAATTATCATCATTAGATAAAGAGCAATATAAGAATACATAATCATAATTTATTAATATTGGAGGTATTAGAATGAAATCAATAGTTTTATGAAAACTAAAAGCAACAAAAAAGCTAAAAGTAAACTAACTTTACAAACTTATTAATAACTTACATATATAATTGATTAATTTTCTAACTATTATTTCATATACTTTTATCACAAAGGTAACTTATATTAGTTTGCTTATATTCCAGCATTTTATATTCTTTTAATGTAAGTGAATGGAGCTATTGTGTTTCATGAGAATTTTTTAATAACTTTTAAACTGTGTCAGGTAATCTCCATACTGTGTACATAAAATTATATTGAATATATACATAAATATATATGTATAAGTATATTTTAATTTATTTGCATATTATTAGCACACAAAAAATAGAACGTAATTAAATTTCGTAAGAATTACTGACAGTTAAGAACTCCCTTATACGTTTGACTGCTCAACCAAGGCGTAAACTACAGTTTCAATTATGGTATCACGATATTAAATGTAGACACGCAAATATGCAGACACAAATCGCACGTATTTTAATCCCACAGATAATACTTTTTATAGGAACTTATAGAGAATAAATAAAAAAAATATTTATAATTAAACTTACCGCTCCAATACGCGTATGAACCTTTCTGGACACTCTGGATGTTTACTATCCCATAAGCAGCGGTGTTGTGACATGGACTCATCATAGACCAATCCAGTAGGTTTTTGTACCAATGCTTTAGCATTAACAGCCTTTGTATAGGTTTTGGAAAGAAACGATTTAATACCCATATTAAATGTTTGAAAAAAATTATCAATATAAAAAAATAAAACTCACATTTTGAAAAATATCTTTGACAACAATTTCTTGCTGTGATTGTTCCTGCATTTTTAATAATTTTGCTCTCCGTTTCGCTTCGAGAAGTGCGGCGTTCGGCTTACGGGTATCGAATGTTTTCACCATTGCTCTTGTCTGTATTTTGGCCTTTTGTGCTCCACGTCGTGTAACAATCGGAGAACTCTATAAACAATAATAATAAACAATGATAAGAGATAAAATGCATGTGTGTTTGACAGAAAAATAAAAATAATCACATCGTAATTATTTATTTATTTAAAATTAGAAACTGCACAGTGGCGCATATTGCCTTATCAACTAATAAAAATATAATAAAAATTTTTAAAAAAAAAATATATATTTCTTGTTTATGTTTAAATTGCATTGTAGCACCCACATTTTTACAAAGACGCGCTAACGGCTTGATGGCTAAACTTGTACTGAAACAGTTTCAGACTGAATTATTTCTTCACATTATTTACTCACATTCATAGTCGTGAGTCAGTTCCAGCTGCGAGTTATTTCAAGTTCATGTGGGTATTGTGGGCGCAATTAATTTTTTTTTTTTTTGTGTCTTTTTGCTTTTTTCCAGTTATTCACTATTATTATTTTTTTTTTGTTTATTTATTTTTTTTGGTTGACTTCATTCTGGTAAATGATTCGTATTTCAATAAACCAAACAAACAAACCAACATTTCACTTCGGTGTAGGTTTCTTCGCTATAATGTAAGACCATTTACTCTATTTCCGTATTGTTCAAATTGTGAAGTTGTTCAAATCATGCAAATAACTAGAAGAGTAGTTAGTTTTGGCTTCGCTGAAGTCTATTAAGCCTCCACCAACACCAAATGAGTATACATTGGCAAAAAGATTTTTTACAAATGGCAGCAATTATTGAAATCTGATGTCTGTAGTGAAATTTGAGATACTTTTGTTTGCGCCTAGACTATTGTGTGTTAAAGAAATTTAATATTTTTAACATTGAAGATATTTATACTGATATTTACCGAGAGAAATTCTTTGTAAAATTATATTATATATATATCATGTTTATATCATATGAAATAAGTAGAATGAAAAAAGCCCTGGGCGCTTTTACACACAAAGATAAAAATCTTTAAAGCATGAGTTCTTTCAGTTCTCCTGTATGGTTGCAAAACCTGGTCTGGCCAAACAGAATATCAAATCAAGACCTTTACACCAGAGCAAATGTAAGAGATGTCCACCTTGAAATTCGCAAAAGAAAATTTAGATGGATTGGGCATACACTTCGATAGGCTCTTACCGCAATTTGTCAACAGGCGTTGCTATACAACCCGCAAGGTAGCAAAGGAAGAAGACGTCCACAAACAGCATGAAGAAGGACAACGGTAAATGAAATAAATACCGTTTTGCAGCCCGTAGAAACAAGAATAAGCAACATTACTAATATAAGGGACGTAGAGTTGCGGCGCGAAATGTGGATACGGTTTAATGACAGCCTATGCCCAGTATAACAGGCTGCTTGAAATCATTGACGTCGAGCAAGACTTATTATTATTATAATTATTTTTATTATATCATGTTTCTGGTCCAGTTAGCTGGTGATTTGACTTATTGTTTATTTAAATGTCTAGATGTCAGGTAGGTTAGGGTGGCGGCATTGTTCCTTTCTGACCACGGAACCTTGGTTGACACCACAGATTAGCGTTATTTATACGCAGATTATACAGGGTTAGGCGATTGAAGTGTTATCAACTACACACAGGTATATCTGTCAAAATGATATTGCCAACTACGTAAAATTCATACAAATAGCTGATATAAACAGCTATTATAATAGTACAATAGTACAAGCAGCGTACCCAAACGTTATGGTGATAGATGAAAAAAAAACAACATCTTTACCCGAAATGATTCCAAAAGTGAAGGCTCGACTTGAACGAAATTCACATCGTAGTGGTAATCAAATGGGCAAAGAACTGAAAATATCCCAGCGAAACATCCGACGAATATTCCAAAATGAACTCAAGATAAAGCCTAACAAATTTTAAAAGACACAAGATCTTACAAAAAGTTAGACTCGAAAGAGCATAGGAGTTGTTACGCCTGCACCAACGTGGCAAATTTCCAAACATTGTGTTCTCTGTTCCCATTTTAGCAGTTCATCATAATCATCGGCTTTCTCGCTTTCTCTATTCTGCATTGTATGATGTTTTGCAATTTTGGATACCCAATTTCCTGATGTCGTCGGTACGTTGTCGAGTCATCTTATATGTGGCTTACCTCTGATTTATGAGCACTTCGAAAACTTTTAAAATAATCGTGTTTACATAACTGATCGCACTGCCGAAAATTGGAGACTACAAATGTCCACCCGAAGTAATTTTCCACCTCAAGTAATGGTATGGGCAACTGTGATCTCCGATGGTCGCTCTCCAATCGTTTTCATCGAGCCTGGTGTCAAAGGCAATACGATTTATTATCGAAAAAATGTTTTGGAAGTTGCATTAGAGCAGTGAGTACGCATTTTGGTCATAGACCATGGACGTTCCAACAAAACTCGGCACCATATATTAAAGCTCGTTTGAACCATGAATGGTTAAGAAACCGTGTTTCACACTTCTTTTCGTCCACTTTCGAATTCGTCAAATGCTAATCTGATGGACTATTCCATCTAGGTCATTTTGGAGAACAAGGTTAGTACTAAAATATATACCGGTGTGGATGCGCTGAAGAAAGCCATTGTTCACGAATGGGCCAAAACATGGGAAGATCACAATCGTAAAGCTTGCAAGTAATTTTTTTAACTGTTTGAAGGCCATAGTCAAGGCAAAAGGTGGCTACATCGTGCTAGAGTGAATGGACTCTGAAATTTTGTTTATTTCCAAAAATTTTTGTAATTTAAATCAATAAAAAGTAATTTCATACAAAAAAGATATGGTCGCTTGAATAGATAACACTTAAATCGCCTAACCCAGTAAAGTGATCGTGAGAACATGGCTAAAGAATATTTCAGGTAAATTTAGTAATAGTTTAGCTAGTTATTATTTTCCAAAAACGTTGAGATACTTTGGCAAGAGAAGCAAGTGAATTTAGACAATGAATATCCTATTAGATGCGCAAAATAAGTTTAAAAATGAACGATATGTATTGAATAATAAATGTTTTACATAAGATCTTGAGTGCGAAGAGTGATTACTCTAAGATTAGATAGTGATAAGTAGGATAGCCTGTCAATTTTCGTATATAACTTCAGAGCTCTGTCCCTTATGTATTTTTTGATCGGGTCTATTCTAAGGTCTCTTAGCATATCGTTTGTGCATATGTACCAAGGCACTTTGAAGAGCCTTCGGAGAGCCTGACTTGTATCTTTTATATAGTAGAGTCGGCAGCTTTGCTATACGCGACACACCCATAAAGTGATGCTGGTCTAATTATCTGGCTATAGATCAGTTTTCTGTTCTTATCTTGAATTTAAGAGTTTTTATTTTAAATAACTACCATGCTATAATACTTTATATGCTATAAAGCACTAGCGTCAGATATATCCTCATAACTGTAATGTCTCTAGAAATGAAACTGCAGCCTAACCACTAATAATGCGTGATTTATCACCTTTAGAGTGTGTTTTGTGAAACTATTTGAAGTTATCAGTCTATGTGGACAATTCAACAACGTTTTCATCAAATACAATGTTTCGAGACAAGATTTTAAAGCTTAAAAACGTTGTGAAAAATTGGAACTTTTAAATACACGGCAAGGGGATCCTAGTATTTCACTAGATGGACTCGCAGGTGAGACTAATCCCAAGTACTCACCCCCTTCGAAAGGAGGGCCTCCACGTGGTGATCCCTGGTAACGCTTATAGCGGCTAATGCGAGCCAAACCCGCACCTTCCCATTCCTAAATATTCCCTACTATCAACATCTCAATACCCCTATCCCTCTCCACCTCCATCTTCCCCCCCAATCCGGAATTTGCACGTGTTCATCGGACTTGTTTGCAGTCGGGGGTAACAGACTGTATTCTAGCGTCGCACCTCAATGATACCTGCCCGCCTCATTGAGTAACTGTGGGCTTACCGTGTTATCGGGGGCTATGACACGGCGGACCTCCTTTCCCCCACACTCGTGGGAATTTAATGGAACATAATTTGAATAAAAATAATAAAAACAATATAAAAAAACCAGCAGGAACACACACTGCAAATAAACTGGTAAATCGGTCGGAATCTGATATCCAACATACCGATCGCCAGGCACCCTTTACAAAACGGAAAGCGGAAAAAAGTACTGAGGGCAAAGAAGCTAGGAACAATACTAGCTCTCTGCCAACTGAATCAAAAACGGAACTTTCGTTACGAAAAGGAAGTCAAGGAACTCTGGGTTCAAAGGTTGCACCAAAAGATGTAACGATCGAAACACTACCACAGCCCTCGACAAGCACTGGACTAAACTCCGGCCAAAGCTTTCGCGACGCCAGGAAATCTACTGGTTTGAGCGGTGCGGGTACAAAATGGTACCTGCGCTATCTCAAAGAAGGCTTAGCACCGGAGGCAGCCAAGGAAAAGGCGCTCAATCGGCCGAGGGGCAATCAAGACTCTAAGAAGAGGTCTGCCCAAGAAATTAGTCCGATCGATCATCAATCAGCTAAGAAAAGAAGAGGGAATGAGAAACCTCCACAAGCAAAGGATGGTACGCAAATGACAGCACCAAAACAACCGAGAAAAATAATATCGGGCAGCAGTTACGCTAATGTAGCCAAGAGCTTAAGAATAGCAATTCTTCCGAAATCTTACCCGGAATCTACTCTTTCTAGGGAGGAGCAAGGTAAAATCGAGGAACTTCTCATTGAGGAGATGTATAAAGGATGGGATGCCAAGCTACGATTTAGCGGGATACACTTTCGCCCAGGACTTATACTGGTTGACTGCGTAGACGAGGATGCGGCTAATTTTATCCATGGAACGGCACCTAAGCTGAACGGATGAGAAGGCGCTGAACTCACCACGTGTGTCGGGGACAAAATACCGAAATTACACATGTTGACAGTCTACCTCCCAAGAGCTAAAGGGGTCGACACGGAAAAGCTGCTAAAACTGCTCATAACTCAAAATGAGGGTCTACATACTCAGATGTGGAGAGTTTTTAGCAGCAAGGATCTGAAAAATGGCAAACTCCTAACAATCGGGATTGACAACC